ATTCTGTCTTAAAAGACTGAATTAATGTGTATATTATCAATCCTGGAGAGCGGATCATTGGAATAAGTCACACCAACCAAAATATGTAGTTTCCAGATGTTTAATTGTAATTGGGATTGCAACAAACTAACAGCCAAGCCTATCGAGGGGTAAGATGTGCTGTTTGGATGTGAATATGCAATGTAATGTCTGTACAACTTATCTGAAGTGGCAACATCTGTTGATGTGCAACACAAAACATCTACACTGTATACTGATGTGAGTCATTAACATACACAATGTAAGAAGTTGTTAATTAATTAATACAGATGGTATGAGGTGTGAACCTTCAGACTGGTATGGCATGTTTGGTGTCAATCTGATGGAAAATCACTCCTGAATTCAAATCTGGTCAGTATTGTATGCATTAAAAGTTACACCTGTATAATGAAAATCATCTGTAAAGTGGCATTAATCTAGTCATAAATACCAAAAGGACTTCCACAGACACCCCTCCGAAAGCCTGCCAACTATATGGCCAGCCATTGTTTCAGGTGTCGGGTTCCTGGTCATCCCTATTCATGAACTGTAGGCCACAAAACCTGGTGCCTCAGATTTAGATGTGAGTGCGCGAGAAGCCCTCTAGAAAACCATCAAGAAATCGCCAGAACACCGTGAAGTCTAGTAGAGAAGTCCAGTAGAGAAGCCCATCCTGAAGCCTGCTGGTGAAGGTCTGCTACCCAACATAGAACTGCAACCCCAAGACAAAGCCTTTCACCTTAAAGCTTCACAAGGAGAGAAAATCCAAGGGGTTCCACTCCAACAACTTCCATTCATTCTAACAACCCAAACTGTTCTGTTTAATCTGCATTATAACTTTAGGGTCGTGTTTCCACATACTGTGCTTGCTTTGCAGAACAGTATTTCCCTTCTAAGGTTAAAATCTGGTCATTGCATTTTCATATTACATTCTGTTTGGTTCTATTCCGTTATTTTGTGTTTGTTGTTTATGTTTAAGTGTAATGTCTGTCTTATGTTAGTACAGTGTTAGTTAGAAATAAATACATGCCTTTTTATACAACTTCAGCCTCCTCTCATTGAGTGCTCACAATAGTCCCTGCCTCTGTGCAATCTGGCTACTAAGCTCTGATACCTCAAGCTTGCCTGAAATATTGTGATACTCTCTCTTAACGGCCGTGAGAAGAGCTTCGCTACCAATCGTTACCTGGTGACGTAGCTCGGTGGATGACCTAGATTACTAAGCGATACTGGTAATTAGTGAATCCCATTTAAGTCTCACATTAACAGACTCACAGGGATTCCGCAATTGAGTAGGTCATGTGACCCATGTGTCCAAACGACATTAGGGCAGTCTAAGTGGATGCTCTGTTCCAAGAAGGTAACAATTGCTTCATTTTTCAACATCTAGTAAGATAAGAGTAAAAATAAGTAAAAGTGACTTTTGACGTATAAACCAGACATATATACATATTAATTAATGATTAATTATTGATTGATGAATTAATTGATTTATTAATTAGAAGATAAGCCATACTGTATGTTGCATGTCCCTTTAATGATAAGGGCATGATTTTTTTAACATTACCAGAAGCTTACTTATCACTATCCATGTATTACTGGGGAGAATAAGTCTCAGACAGCTGCTGAGTGAGAATGTATTTAGGTTTCATAACACTGACTCCAGGTTTAGTCCGGGTGTCACAGCAGCACAGGTTCTAGCATTGCTAAGTAGACCTGACCAAGTAAAACTCCTGACATTGTTCATGTTTCTCGTTTCCTCTGGGAAGCGGAGAGGCTTTTTCCGTAGCTCGGCGTCATGGCGGTGGGCGGACAGCTGCGCGGTGGCACCAAGGCCACACTGGCACGGCTGTGGGTGGGGGGAGCGACTCTGTGAGGGAGAACCTCGCTGAACCAGCAAGAACAGTCAATGCTAAATCAGGAGCACGGCAGTGATGACGATGTTGCTCCTTTTTAGCCACTAATTGCTAGTTTAAGATATGAATCTGTAATTTTGCATCTTTGCGTTCATAATCTATTATTAAATACCTAATATTATTGATAAGTGGATATAGTTTTGATCATTGAAATTCAGAGACCAGCAGCAAGGACACATACTGGGTGTTTGTGTGTCTCCCTGGCCTACTTTGGCATTCCCTGTTCTTACAGCAATCAGAATGTCTGAACTCAATGTCTGAAACTGCTGATAATCTCACTGCTGACAAGCCGGTGCAGAATTTAGGGCAGGAGAAGTTTCTTCTCCCAGGAAAATGAAACTGCACGATAACTGCTGGCACACTTGAAGAAAGAGCCTCAAAAGATGAAAAAGACAAAATTACTTAGGGCTGCTAGGCAGGTTGGTTGAACACTACAGTCATTTTTCATGAATTATTTGAGGGAGATTCTGACAGTTTTTCCACTTGTTCTGCTGCTCTAACACTGAATCTGGAGCAACAGAGACTTTGCAGACATGCCTTCCGTAGGGATGATTGAGCAGCGTCTGGCACAAGGACTTTATGCCTGATTCTATACCCGTATGTCCATGGAAAGGCTCGACTAAGGGCATTGTAGATGTCGAGCTGAGACACATGGAGAGCGCTATGGCACGCGGCCCCAGCGGGCTGCACCCACGCATGGCCAGGCATGATATGGCGATGCCATGAGGGAAGATGGTCTGGCCAAGGGGAGACGCTATATCATTCGTAAGTTCAGCTTTAAGTTGTACCTTAACATTCCAATGCTCTCCAAAATGTCCTTAGCTAAGCTTCTGTAAGAGGTACTTTCGTAAGGTTGGTCTAACCACTCTTACCTATCACTTATCAATGCTGTCGGCCATTATTTCAACCCCTGTATTAGCTTAGTCATATCATCTTGTTTGTTTGACTCATCTGCCGGCCCCTGGAGGATGGGCTCCCCCTTTGGGTCTGGTTCCTCCCAAGGTTTCTTCCTCTTAGGGAGTTTTTCCTTGCCACCGTTGCCTTTGGNAGGCAGAAATGTAAAGCGCATTGAGACAATGTAATGTTGTGATAATGCGCTATATAAATAAAATTGAATTGAATTGAATTGAATTGAATTCTGCTAGTGGACCCCACTGTTCGGACCGTATGCCTCTGAAATTAGTAATATGCTGTTAAGAATTATAATAATTCAGCATGTGATTTAAGAAAAACGTTAATATCATTTTAAAATAATAAAGATGTCATCATTCCACATAAGACCAACATCGTTAAGGGGTACAGTTTCACAACTAAACATAACTAAAAAACTAAATGATCCGTATGATAAACTGATTTTGTTTGATATTTGACTACAATCATTGTATACGTTTCCTCCTTGCGTTCTGCATGCACAGTGAATTGGCTTCAGTAACATGTGGATTCATAATAAAAGATAAGGAACGAGCTGCTGATTATGTATGTATATATGCATGTATTTATTTATTGCCGATATTGGGGTGGACGTGTTCCCCCTATTTCCCACAACCCTGTCGACACTACAGCTTCATTTACATGTAAGTGTAACATATTCTCCCCAAAAAAGCACCCAGGAACAGTCATTAGTAATCAATACTGAAGCACATAGGACATTCTCTTATGTTAAGACATAACTTATGTAATCTCTTATGTAACACAACTTTTCTTTCTTTTCATACCAATATCAATGACATACATGTATATTGGTGTATGCAGGTGTTTTATAGACTAAAATAAAAATAAGATGGTGTGATACTACAGTCTGGGGAGGCGGGTTAATCACATTTATGGGTAGATGATTCAGTTTGTTAATTTTGTATATTAATTTTAGGTTCTCCCCAGATTTGATTAATGCAATATTTTGAAGCATTCCTGTAGTGTTATATTAACATTTATTAGGCAGCCTCTTAAGGAATAGTTCGTAGAACAGATGGAGAACAGTACACAACTTCAGTAAGATATACCGTTCAAGTTTCCATAATACACTAAAAGACACCATTATTGGAGAACTCACCCCTGATCTGCAACCGCTCCTTTGTACAGACTGCTTCCAGCACCACTTCCAGTACAGCCATGTTTGTCTTCCAGCAAAGACTATTACAGTATAACTATTGTAACAACATAGCAATAAGATGTGGCGACTTTTAGCAATGGTCTTAATGGGCAGTTAATCAGTTGTACCTAATGCTGCACCCTGAGGTGAACTCACTTTCTCTAACATAATCACACGGGGAAATTCTTACTCGCTGGGACACTAACCCGAAATGCCTTCCAAGAGACACTGAGGATTAGAGGAAATGCTACCATGCTCCATATGTGTGTCCCACAGAGCAACAGGAACGTCTTCTATTCTGAGAGCTGACCCGGGGCACTGAACGTACACTCATTCATTCCCGAAGCCTTCCGATGCCTGAAGGTGCACCAGCCGCAAGCGCTGAACTCCCCTGCCTGGGCGAGCTTGCCAGCCACCCCCCCCCAGGCCCACGGAGCAGGATTAATTAGCCACGTCTCTGGCTGATGATGAGAAACTGCGGCGGCTCTGCTGTGACTGATGGAGTTTAAGCTGCTGAAGATTACACTCTGACTGCAGAGGCTAAAGATTTCCCAGGCAGTCCCCTCATACTGCCATGTCAGATCCATCAAAGGTATCACATAAATCAGAGGGAGACCGCCGATCTTCGCCATGAAGATATGGGCGACCATGTGCTGAATTTAAAGGACCGGAGTGCTCACTTTCTGTCTGCTTTCTGCAAGCATCTCCTGCAGCCAGGGCCAACAGAACCATTTTCGCAGCCCTAAGCAAAATTTGATCAACCTAGTTGTCATTTGTCATCTTCCCTCCAATTCTGATCAGATCAGATGTGGCCACTAGGCCCTAAGCAGCCGCTTAGTTTATGTTCGGAGTTGGCTCTGCCAGACTTCATACAAATAAACAAAAGGCTGTATTGGTTTCTGTTTCATTTCCAGGGTGTGACCTTGTGGAAAAATAACAATTCACACTAAGGCTGTTAACCGAACAAACAAACAAACCTGTTACATTTTCAGCCACCAAGCTTGCAGATGAGCCTGGGTTAGTCCACATCAAGGGTGCTGCCTGTTGCTATGGTCCTGCAAATCTATATAAGACAATGTTCTGATCATGTGGGGAGTCTTTAGCAGTATAGTGAAAAACTCGATGCTCAGCTAAAAAAAAAAAAGCATATTATTGGCGTCAAAATATGCAGACAACATCATATCATTAGGTATAGTATTTTTCATTTTCATTCTCTCTATATATATATATATACACACACACACACACACGCACACCTAGATCTGTACTCATATCTTTGTGGGGACTCTCCATTCATTTCTATGGACAAAACCCTAATCCCAATAATAATAACCTTAATCCCTACCCAGCCCTAACCTTAACCATAAGAAAACAAACAAAATACAAGACTTATGGCATTTTTAGGTTTTTGGTTGCAGTCACAGACAAATAAAATTGAATTTCCAGTGCCAGCGACCCACAAAATGGTCCCCACATTGTAATGTATACTTGGACCACACACACGCACACACACACACACACTCATGTAGGGTAAACATATCCTTATGGGGACCGCTCATTCATTTCAATGGGAAAAATGCTAACGCTAACTAATGACAACCTTAACCCCTACCCTGCCCTAACCATAACCATAAGTAAACAAACAAAATACAAGAGTTTTTGCATTTTTTGTTTTTTCATAGCAGTCAACGATTTTTATAAAATAGAGTTTTCCCTTATGGGGACCAGGAAACCGGTCCCCATAAGGGAAAAAAAAAACCGGATATTTATCACGTTATGGGGACATTGTGTCCCCATAAGGATAGGTAAACCCGCTCGCACACACACACACACGCACACGCACACAGTGTGTTGGGGAAGTTACAAAAGTAATTGATTGAAGACAGAGGTGGAAAGTTCGGGTCGATAAAATACAAATCCAGACCAAGGTTTCGTTTCAACCAACCAGTTCACCACAAAGTGTCACTGTCACAGAGTGCTCAACACAGCTCATTAACACTGTGTGTGTGTGTCTATATTTTATGTTGAAAAGCAGTCTTTCCACTCTACATTTGTAGAAGCAATGAAGCGTGGGATTGTTTTTTGTAAATAGTTTCCATACAGTGGCAAAGTATGCGAGGTCCCTACATGCCTAGTGACGAGGTAAAACAACATAAAGAGTGAAGTAGTCACCAAGCATTTACCAGCTGACCCCATGTCTCTCCTTACAGCATTTCCTGAATTTCACACTTGGCTCAAACCCTTTAGGGTTGTTGAACAGCTTAGGAAGTGCCTACAAAACCCTATTGTCCCAAGTGTAGACAAGGAGAACTCTGGGTGGCTGTGGGGGGGCCTGTCTCCCCCCCCCACATAAAGTAGCGAAGCCACCAGCTGGCACAGGATCACTTGTCAACGGGATTGAGTTTACACTGCTGATATAACACAAGCAGCATCTGGTGGCGATCCATCCAGTGCAATTACTGCTTTCCATCACGGAAGAAAATGTCTACCTGAAATCATCCAGCGAGACACCTCACTTTTTTATTATCTGCTGAAAATTGGCCAGAGACCGTAGCTTTGCTGTGGCCGGGCCAGACATATTTGTTACCTTAACTTGTTGGCTGCAGTAAAGCCAGTGGTGCTGTTTTTGGTACAATTAAAAGGAACAAGAACACGAAGGGCAAGCGAGAAAGGCCCACCTGAATTACACCTGAATTACAGCATATTGCATAAATTGACAACCTAATTCCATTTGGTTTATATATGATCAGACAACTGTGGCAACATGGAGGAATGAAAAGAATAATTAAGTATTTCAACTTTATTGGCTGTTCACTGGTTTGTATGAGGCTGCAGATCCACATCAGACCTGAGCAGGGAATGCTGGCCTTTCTCCTCTTTGGTCCTTTCCTTCTTCCTTTTTATACTGTCATATAATTCACATAATATAGTGTGGTGGAGAGATCACATGGGACATGAGTGAGATCAGATTTACAGCTGGGGGGATTTAAATGACACATTTATGGGGGAAAATCCATCTGAAATAAGGATTTCCGATATTTGTACAGGGTGGGGAATATTGCTTGCATTACCAATAGGATACTTTGTTATCACCCATGGATGGAAAGGTATGGCAACATTTATTGGATTGACAACCATTAAGGAACAGACCAAAAATTTACATTGCACTACATACTTAACAAAATATAATGTTGTAACACAATGTTCTACTTTGTCATGATTGTAATTATAATTATTGTGTTACTACACAGGTCAGGTCAGGTCGGGGAGCACACGCTGATGCAGCATGTTGCCGCACCCACCACACGCTGAAATTCCTCCGGATCCCGGCTGATAACCCCCTATGCAGACACACAGTCCAGTCCCACACTCCGGAAATGGCCGTCCATCTGCCGCAGCTAGGTGTTACGTGGGCGTCCCCTCAGCCTGTTAGCAATGAGGATCCTGCGAGCCGGATCACCCTCAGGGAAACGCGCCACATGGCCATAGTGCCGTAACCGACGCTCCCTCACAATGCAGGTAATGTGCCTCATTCGGGACACAAAGTCAAACCAGCGGTACCCAAGGATTCTCAAAAAGAGACACGGTACTGAAAGAGTCCAGCGTTCGTCTCAGCTGACTGGATAGCACCCATGTCTCACAGCCATACTGCAAGACAGAGAGAACAAGGACACTAAAAACTTAGACCTTCGTCCTATTGCAAAGATATCAGGAGTGTCACACACCCCATTCCAGCGACTCCATAGGAAGTCCACCCCATTCCATACTTCATAGGAAGAGGAAAGGAGTGCCTTAGCCTGAGTCTCATGATACGCTCATTGAAAGGAGTGACATCAGACACCTTCGGAAGGAGCTGATCCGCTACAGCAACAGCTACTCCCTGAGTATGGCAGCCATCAGACCCACCAGACCAAAAGTAGGTATACCCACCTACAGAGATCTGGCCACTCCCAGGTCTGCGTACCTCAGAGTGTGCCACCATTAAAATGAGGAGTTTACAACGCTCCCCCAACAGCAGAGAAAGATGGTCATCTTGCCTGAGAGACAAGACATTCCACACGCATACCCAAATGGGTCGCCTCAAACTGGGACCTGAGTACTACCATGTAGCAGATGATGCCTCAGCACCACACCAGCCCTGATCCCTAACAAGTTTCACCCTATTATCTCTCTGACGGTTTCGGCTCTTTCGGGGATGGGGCTCCTGAAGGCTTTCCCCCATCCCCTTCATGGTGCGTGCTTCTGATTTTTTTTGTGTTCATTTGTGTTTAGCAGAAGGGTATGTATAAGTAAGATTTTCATTGCATAAGTGTAACTGACTGTTTATTGTGCACATGACAAACAAAATCCTGAATCTTGAAAAATGGCCAAAATTGGCAATTAAAGAGGACAGAAGACGGGGTCAACAAAGTAAAGAGATTTTAGCGTATAACGATGACAGTCACAATTCCTGTTCCCGTAAAGCTGGGGTGTGATATCGTGCTCTTTGAACAAGGGCCAAAGTCCTGCTGGTTTTACAGTAAACATTATTCATTAGAGCCGGACTGACACCTGTAATAGCAGGTCACAGTGTAAATACTTCAGTAATACCACTGTGAGCTGAGGCCTATCGAAAGTAAACCTGAGCATCCGCCAAACGACAGGACAAGTGCCAGTGAGTCTACCAGTGTTTACTGCATCTGCTGCGTCAATGGCCAATTTGCACCTGGAAGATGAAGTGAGACTCAATTTCCATCTTAAATTAACCAATTACTTTGGGTTGCAGTAAGACTGCAGAATTATTAACACAGCAATGTAATGTAAATTTTCCCACATGTCCCTCCAAAATGGGCACACAAATGCTAAACAGTTGAAATACTACTGTTGTATGTAGCAGAATATGTTCCAGTGCAATTTTAATTTAAGATGTGCAATAACAACAATAGTAAGCGATGCCAAATTATGCACAAACACTTGTAGAAACAGAATTTAACCATGAGTGGTCTGATTTCCTTCCCTCTACAATCCAAAAATATGCTGAGGCTAAATGGAATTGCCAAAGTGTGTAAGTGTGTAGGTGTGTGTGTGTGTGTGTGTGTGCGCGCGCACATGCACCCTGCGATGGGTTAGTGCCCCATCCAGAGTTATTCCCTGCCTTGTGCCTGTAGCCTCTGGGATAGGCTCTGGACTGGCTGCAACCCTGAACAGGATAAGCGGTTTCAAGAAATGGATCGATGGATGGATTCAAGATGAACTGTAATCCAGGATGTGCTGAATGTCTTATGTACAATTTTGGAAACCATTTCCCCACAACAGGGTCTTCTCCTTCATATTTATATGGTTTGAAACTTAAACTGCTTTTATAAGCATATCTTGAGATTCTACTCAACAGGATCAATGTCTAGTGACTGAGGGTCCTTGGGCACCTGGACAGAACGTGCCATCTGGACTGCAGACTGCCAAACTTGAAAACCAGCTTCTCAGTGACTGCACTTTTAAGAACTCAAATAGAATTACTGGAATCAGGCCATGGAAGGATGATTCCGGAAAACCTCAGGTTTTTAAATGTTTAATTTAAGGAGAAGGTCGATGGCTCAAATCCTGTGCCTGGCAGAGTGACGCTGCTCTTGGGGCCCTGAGCATGACCCTTAACCCCAATTACTGCCTGAGCCTGCTCTCTGATCCTCAACTGTATGTTGCTTTGCATAAAAGCATCGGCTAAATAAATAAAATGTAAATTAACGTAAATGACAAGGCATTTGTGGATTTAAGTTGCATGCAGACATTGACAGGTCCATTGGTCGAGACGAAGGAAGACTCATTCCCAGGTCATGCTCCTCAGCATTTGTAGCCCATACTCCTTGTGAAACTAGACTAAGATTCAACAAGCGATAATTACTGCAGACAGTGCTAGTGCCTCTGTTCTCCTGTGTTGCCCTGTAGTCCACATTGTTGCAGGTGCATCTTGGTCCTAGGACATGCTGTTCCATCCCCCACTGCTGCTTAGTGGCCTTTTAATTTCCCCAGGTCCTTGTGACCTTTTTGCCCAAATGGCTGCGTAATACATATCTCTCGTTATGTCCC